GTGCTCACCTCATCCCGGAGGTCGTCAGGGAGACAGTGCTCACCTCATCCCGGAGGTCGTCAGGGAGACCGTGCTCACCTCATCCCGGAGGTCGTCAGGGAGACAGTGCTCACCTCATCCCGGAGGTCGTCAGGGAGACAGTGCTCACTTCATCCCGGAGGTCGTCAGGGAGACAGTGCTCACCTCATCCTGGAGGTCATCTTCAATGGCCTTTCATACCATACCGACTTGTGCTGTTATACATTGAACAATATTACTAACATAATGACACCTAATGCCCATTTAACACATGGTGCGGATCTCTAGTCACACATAGCCAGGTGAGTGAACAGGTCATGTGACTGGCAGGTCACATGACTGACATTCCCAGCTGGCTGGATTTTGACCCTTGTCACCTCAGGCCGTTTCTTACTGCTCCACATTGGCCCCGCATCATAGCACTGGGCCACAATGTGGCTGGATGGAATGCAAGGATGGCTCCCCTTTGGGAAGATGGGCTGCGGCCTCCAGAGTGAGGCACTTCCCGGTGCTGTTTACCAGCGTATTCCTCAGGAGCTCTGAGCCCAAAACTGGCATGTGACTTGCCGGCACCAATAGGCCACATGTCACCTCACTGGTTCCCATCTCCGCCCCCGACAATCTGCATCCCGCACATTTCACTTCACCCATGGCCTGCCATTACAGGCCAGCTGGGCACCAGCAAGGGCACAAGCTCTTAACTGAAAGAGGAACCTGGTGCCAGTTCCGGTCCAGTTTCCTGCCACCTCAGGCCTTTAACAGATGCCATTTATCCTTAAGTTTAGCCACTGTTGGGGTGGTTGGGGGGGAAAGGGGAGTAGGGTGTCAATTGGTGTTTCCTCTGGGTGCTTCAATCTCCTCCTGCTGTCCAATGACATCAAGTCAGGCTAATAGGCATCTCTAAATTACCCATAACACTTTTAAAGTAAAGTGGAGTTCTGCACACTAAAAATCCATTTATCTATCCGCTTATTCTGTTCAAGGTCCTGGGGGTGGGGGCTGGAGTCTTTCCCAGGCAGCACAGGGCACCAGGCTGGGCTACATTCTGGACAGGATGCCAGTGCATTACGGAGCCTTCACAGCCAGCACTCACTTCAGAAGTTCACTTTTCATCTTTACATTAATTGCAATAAATCATCATAAAATGGATCGAAGATCGGACCTAATATGCTTATTGAGTCAAAAAGGATAGATATCTCGCCAACTCACAGCCGTGGGGATTGTGGGTTCACTCTGACCTCCAGTGAATTAGCGTAGCTTTGCTGTGGGCTGTTTGACTTAACATGTGTCTGATTGACTGGTGCAACACCCCTGAACCGTTCTGTGTTTATGCATGATTTTATATATATTTCTGATTCATTGAGTGTGATGAAGATTCAGATCTGCCTGTTGTTAAAGCACAAACTGGGTGTTTTTTCCGGATACATCGACCCTGCTGAGCCACACTCCACCCCCATTTTAATGATCAAAATGTTAAGGTCAACACAACGAACGCAAATGTCCTGTTTCCAAATGTCACTTGTTTTGAGTCATCAGGACAGGCGGTTAGACGGTTAGATGGTGGATGGATGGAATTCACAATTCGCAGAGTAACACGAATACCGGACTCGGTGACATCAGGAATGACACAGTAAATCCATTCCCTAACCCCCTTGTCACATAGAACATTTCTGAGTTTCATGGCTAAAGACCTGCAGTAACATGATAGGTGTGACTAAGAGATGAAGAAGTTTTTCACGCCATTATAATCATCGTTAATCTTTCTTAGAAAACAGTTACTGTGTGACATAGAGTCAAATTGTCTGGAGCTGAATTAAGCCTGAAGGTGAATCTAGGGAGATGTTCCTTTAACATTTTAATTCAGCAGACGCTCTTATCCAAAGTGATGCACATTTTTTGGGAAAGCAGGATCAGACAGTCCCTGGAGCAATTGGGGCTGAAGAGCCTTGCTCAAGGGCCCAAGAGTGACATCACTTTGCGGACCATGGGATTTAAGCCAGCAACCTTCCGATCCCAAGGAGAACAAGCCATGTTTTTTACATTTTTATTTATTTAGTGTTCTATTCCATTTACGTATTTGAGGGTGAGCTGCTTGATTGTTCGTCCAATCACAAATTAGCTGGGGTGTGGCTCTGTGGCTTATGACTCTGCTTCTGATCAGAAGGTCGTCGGTTCAGCTCCTGTGGCTCGCTGGGTGATGTCACCACTGGGCCCTTGAGAAAAGCTTTTAGCTTCTGTCGTCTGAGAGTTACTCCCTTAGGTGCTGTTTGCTAAATAAAGCAAGGTGATTAATAATTCACTGGGGTTATACCTATCATTCTTAAAAGATCACTCACTTGTGACTTTTGTTTCTGTCGGGTTATCGGCAGCAGAGCGTAGCTGGCTGAATGGTGTGGTGATCTAACAGCGTAGTGATTTAATGCTGTGCCCCACCCCCCATGTTACCCGTTAGCAGGGCTGCGGCCTAAATCGCGGGGCCCTTCACGGTTTGTTAGAAACCTTAAGCATGCAGCTGCGCTGGAGTCCTCAGATGGGGAGCACTGCTGGAGAAAATGGGAGCATTGCGCTCAGTGGTGGTGTTTGCATGGGGCCCCTGAAGTTTGGCCCCCTATTGGTCACAAACAGTCACTACACTAAATATAAAAAAATCCATTATTTATTTTGAGATGCTGAAGCAGCATGTTCTGCTAACTAGCTAGCTAACTATGATCTTCTGACTCTGCTCGCTAGCTAATTATCTGAGGGTGGCTCCAGAAACAACAAACCCCGGTTTTGGTGAAGGGAGGGCCGGCTCATAGGAGACCTACCACAGTCTGATGGATGGGCTCCATGGAGGAACTTTCTGTATCATCTCCTTCCAAAGCTGTGGCAGTTAATGGTCTTCCTGAAGTAAAGAGGTTCTCAGTGACGCTGTATCAGGTGGCTACACGTGCCTGGGAAAGTCCTGGTAGAAACCTGCCATCACATATTACATGGAGTTGGAACGTTTCTGCAGAAGTATCACTTCATTGTTAACTCTCTCGGGGAGTTTTTTCGGTGACTGGCACAAATACTAAGCAATAACTCAGTTACTACTGAAGTACAAATCATGATCAAATTATGAACAAATATAGTTGCTGCTTGAGACAAAAGGTAAGTCACGATTCGTTAATGATGAGCAAACATGAGATCAGTATTTCACTTGTGTTATTCATGACTTGTTCCTTCAGTAGTTCACAAAGGTTTACAGAATGCATACATATTGTAACAAATATGGTAACTGCCTGAGATAATACATACATCACAATTAACTAATTATGAATTAATGTGAGATCAGTATGTAAGTAAGACTTAGTTTGTGGTTAATTAATACAGAACATAATACATGTTACCGTCTTTTTTTTTTTCTCCGCACACTTGGATGAAGGTTCATGAAGCTGGTGAACACGCATCTGTGATCTGCTCCTAAGCTCCTCAGAACCAGAGTGACTGAGTGGTGATCATCTGGCAAAACGGAGCCATACTGAGCACCGTGCCTGAGTCCTGGCTTGAGCAGGTAGACCAGAGGAGTGAAAAGATGAGGAAAGACCTGGCAGATACTCTGGATGGGTCACTAGGGGCAGTCAGGAGACAGCAGTTCACCTGGTTTGTTCTGAATCCATATGCAAGCAGAAAGAACGTGGGTGAGCAAAAGTAAAATTCCACCCTCCGCCCCAATGCTCTCTCAAGGTGAGGCAGCGTCTGCCACCATACATTCGGATGGGACCCAAAGGTTTGGGGGCCCATGCTGGCCACAAACAGTCACTACACTTGAGGGAGCAGAGGGGCCCTCAACTTTATGATTTGGGCCCCAGAATCAACAAACCTGCCTCTGCAGCTCAGACCAAGTCCCCTCAGACAATCATTGTCTGTCAGTACGATTCTTGAATATTTCACCAGTCCAATCAGCGCTGCGCGCAGCTAGTCATGGGAGGAAGTCCAGAGCATGATGATTGAACACATGGCGGGGTGTCCGTCAACATGATATTTTACTTAAAGCGAATGAAGAATCTGCATGGTATGAAACAGGAGCTGCAAAAGGTGATGGCTTGCTGAACAGCATCTTCGTGAGGCGGCAAAATCACTCACCGTTTCTCCTTCTTTGCTGGTGACAATGTCGCCTTCCTTTTGTGGGACGAGGCGAATGCTATTCCTAAGAGATTAATCCAGCACACGAGGGTGAATGGAAAAGACGCTGTGGAACAAGGTGGATAACATGGGTTTCATTAATTTTTACTTTTCTGTGTCAAACAGGCTCGGGCAAATGGCAGAAGCTGTTATAGCGTCACAGGCCATTTTGTAACAAAATAACGAAATTCCACCTCTAACAGAAAGATGCCTTTTTAGAACCTTTTGCTGAATCCCAGTTGAGGCTTTTCTCTCATGGGGTGGGGTGTAGCTCCGGAGGTGAGCTATCTGTGCCGTGGCCGGAAGGTTGTGGGTTCAAACCCTACAGCTGGGTTGGGGAAGGCTCCAGTCCCACCGTGCTGCTGGCTAAGCATGGATGCCCCTCCCACATGTAGTGCCTGCTAAAATAATCATTAATAATGGCCCTTTCTACACTTCTTTGCGTCTGCATGCTTGATGTCTTTTCAGGAAAATTTGCACATTATTTGAGCAGAAGCTTTGTCTCATACCTGCAGACGACTTGGCGAGTCCAATTCACCTCTGAGTGTTCTTAGAATTGGGGAGGGGGAACCGGAGAACCCAGTGGAACATGCAAGCTCCACACATGAAGCTGGGGCAGAAAATCCCACCCTGGTCTCCAGAGGTGTGAGGAGACCATGCTAACCTCAGCACACTGCCCTGCAAAGGGATGGTGCCCCATCCCAGGTTCTTCACTGCTTTGTGCCTGCATCTGCTTGGATAGGCACTGGACCACTGCAGCCCTGCATAGGAATAGGTTCGATGGATGGACTGATTTAATCGCAGAGGAGAACTTTTCTGGAATTTTCCACAGCCACCGAAGTTCCTGTCTATCCTGTCCCCAGTTCCAGCAGATGTCTCCTGGCACTCAGACTGCTCAGGTGAAGTGCGTCAACACAGCTCCACGGTCGATGGTGTGGTAACGCGGTCTGTCGCACAGGCTGACGCCCACGTTTGGACTTACGCCGTAGGCTTGCGCGACCTTTTCTGAAACAGCTACACGTAGCAAGAAAAACACACAAACTTACTGTGGAGGCACACTAGCTCCTGCTTAAAGGTCATGTTTAATTTGCAGTTAAGGACAACAGACACAAACAAGTGTTTTTCTGAGTGACGTGTTACCATATTGCCTCAATGTCATCAACACAGCAGGTGGGGTAAAAGTCAAGCTCATTATGGAAAGGAAAAGACATTTAAGTGCGTTTAAATGCCGAATTACTGTAACTGTTAGTTTTTCCAGTTAGTGGAACACTTGACCTGACCTATGTTTCATTTTTAAAAGTTTATTTTTCTCTGACTTGCCTCTGTATAGAACGGCCTCTTGCTGTCAAGTCATTTGCTAAATGACTGTTCATCACAGGGCAATAATCAGCTGCTGGAAAGGGTTTAGCTTGGCTTAACGTTTTCAGTTGTGTGATGCTGTGGTTCTCTAGCCCGTCCATCAGGCCCTTGGCGAGTGGCAGTTACGTTCCTCCAGGCCTGGATTGGGGAACCTGGGAAATCATGAAAAAGGCGAAGAGGAACTTTTTTTTCGTGGCCTTTGCCTTGCGGCAAGACAAATGGACATTACAGACAGTGTAACCCTGTATTACACAGATGTAATTAATACACCACGCCCATCACACCTAACTGCAGATCACCATAACATAATGTCAGATAGCAAATCCTACCTGTAGTACTTCACCTGTACTGGTGGTGTCCCTATATTGAGAAGAATATAACAACATAAGAACTATACAAACGAGATTAGGCCATTCGGCCCATCGAGCTCGCTTGGGGTCTACAGGTGGATAGTGGGTCTAGCAGTATGTTGTTGGTGTGAATAATGTCCATATTTTAGGCCAGAGTGGGGGGGGGGGTAGTAGAGTAGAGTAGTGTAGAAAGTTCTTATCCTATTGGAGATGAGTTGCTGATTAAATTTCATCACACTGTTATTTGATTAGTTTGTTATCCAGTACAGATAATTCAATCTCAAATAAGTGTAAGTGAAAGCACACAATTACTGAGACCCCTGCACAGGATAAGTAATTATGAAAAGAGGTGGTTGGGATGGAGATGTATAGAATTTTGAAAAGCACTTCAGATTTTGAATAATTAATTGTTATGGAAAGCCTGCTTGCCACCCAGGGACATCTCATGGACATCTTGAGGCATATATGCTTTCACAGTTAAAGAAAATTACATGTATTTATGGCCAAAAATCTGATTGGAAAAAATAAACTCTATGAGAGTCTCCTGGTAATTCTGAGCTAGCGTGTTCAACACTGTGACACTGTCCTTCCTCTTTATACAGTTTCACATCCTGCTACTTCACTTTCAGAATTGCCGTGTGACCTTTAAATAGGTACACCTTTTCCTGAAGCAAAAAAAAACGTAACAGAAACCGAGAATATCACTTCCCCTCTTCAGCGAGTCACATGAAAATCACTGACATTCTTTATTATGATACATAATACAAACTGGCGATTATTAATTGCCTATCTGAGGGCCTTTGTTGGGGAAACTAATCAGTGCTTGTAATGACATGTTTAGCTTAATGAAGCTTTATAGTGGCTGATGTAAGAATCACATGTTCTGTTAGCACTTTTTATTGCCAAGTGGGATAGAGCTGAGGTCATCACTGCTTAAAGCTCACCTTTATAGACTGTGATAGACACACTCACGCCGAAAGAGGAGAAAAGATGGGGGGTAACAGACCCCATGGCTGTAACAGAAAGACATCACCTGCTTCAAATCTGCCCTCAAATTAACTTTCACAGTAACTTTTGGCAATAGCTCAATAGCTTTGTTTTTAGCTTTCCATTTCACTTCAAACATAGAGGCCCAACTTCTAACTTAACCAGCTAAACTTTCGAAGTCATTTCCATGAAACTGCTGTACATACCGTCATCTGTGAATGAAGTGCTTCTGTATCTCTGATATTATTGATTTTTGAATAAATCGAATTAATATTGACTCTGAGACGGTTCAGTAGATTTATGAAAGCTAAGATTTCGCCCGCAAAGGCTCATGTTCCCTACTTATCATAAATAATGTGACACACAGAAGATCGAATGACAGGAATCTGAGTGACATCATGTAATGTGAATCAAATTCAACTGGGAAGCGGTTCTATGAACGACTCGTCTAACCCACTGGAGACCGAACGCCCCGTTTCTCCACTCAAGCTAGCCAACGAGCGTTGCTCATCCCACCAAGCTGGTGGACATTTTGTCAGATGAACTAAGAGTTCCCACTGTCCCCGGACAAACAACTGCATTAACCATGACACAACAGGCCTAGTGGACTAATGCCTCGCTTGGAAAGCCAGTCTGATAGGCTGCTGGGTTGATGTCACCCCCTGACTCAGATGCGTGGCGCCACCCACCAACCGGCAACTCAACCCTGCTGAAGTCAGTCTCTCTCTCAGAAAGCTTCTCAAAACGGTCAGTTTGGAGAAAACAAAGAGCGACGATGTGATGACATCACCTGGGTAGCCGTGAGCCAGCTCAGCTAGGTTACACGGCGTTCAGGATGGGGACAAAATGTTCCCACGCATTGTCTGACTAATGTTTTCCTTGAAAAAACACAACCTGAAACCATCAACAGTGAGCAGTCGGAGTAAACCATTAAACAGAAGATTGTACAAACACCTGTACTTCCTAAAAACAAAGCCGTCCTCCGCATTTGGGGATTATAAGTACAGTATGAAAGGCTATAGTAAACAGCACATACGTCGTCATTGGAGTAGACAGAGAACAGAGGTAACCAGTCTGTTTATCAAGCTTTGGCCTAAGTTTCCTGTCCATGTGATGCCTTATGCAACCAGGAACCAAATGTAGCAGCCAGAACTCTGAACACAAGCCTCTTAACAAAGTTTGTAAGCCATGATGGAACTTCTGGTAAGAAAAACAGCAGGTCAGTCCTTCATGTAAGGATGGGAACGGCTTTTCAGTCTTACCTGCATCTTACATCCTCATACCAGCCTGCCAACTAAATATTTCTCACAAGTTTTATTTTTTACACCTCGATTATAGCTGTTTATTATTGCATCACTTTTTATAATCAGACTGTGAGTAAACAGCTCGCAATGCTAATGAGAATAGCCTTTAAATAGCCATGTGCCTTTCTTAAAGCCCAACAGCTGTGGCATGACCACCTCTGCATCCTGCTTGTGTGTTTATTTCTAAATTCCACATATTAATTTCAGTTTTACTTCATCGTTCTGTTTTTGCTTGGAGTCCACGCCATGCTGAGCGGGACCAGGCTTCGTGGGGATTCAGAGGGTCGCTATGTTTATACTTCGAGCCTGGATAATGGGTCACACGGCCCCCTCCGTCCTGCTGAGGGACGTCACACTACGCTTGAAGAGGGAGGGAGGGGAGCTCAGCAAACCGTCCGCTTGCGTGAACTTCATGAACTGGCATTGAGGCACGTTGGCCTTGCCTGCCTCAGGCCCCCGGGGGAGAGGGGGACAGCTGTAAGCTGCGGCTGAACCCGGGTCCCTCGAGGCCAATCTCACATTTAAAGGATTTGCCCCCCCCCGCACACATTTCAGCACGTGACCCGCTGTCCTACAAACAGCTGCTGCTTTACAGTGTTTAAAAACCGTCACCTCGTCTACAGTGCACTGCCATGCCAGCCATGGCCTCACGCGTCCAGAGGTGTTTCACGCCTCACTTTGGGTACCTACTGTAATGGGGGCAGTAAAAAAAAAAACACTGTGTGTGTTAAATTTGTAAAATATGTTCTTTTTTGTAACAGAAAACCCACTAGATAAAAGTATCTGTAATAATGATAATTTGGAAAAAAATTGGATACAATATTTTGGGGAACTGCAAGAAAATACTTTTACTTTTTAAGTTTTCCACAGAATGAATAGAGATCACATGACATGATTTTGGTGAGGTGGGAGCTTTTCCCTCTTTTCTCTCTTTCTCTCGGCTATATTAATTTTCTGATTATCTGGGCAGCATAGCTATTGTGCCTGTTTCACTTAAAGACCACCCTCTCTGCTCCGTGAAGCTGGCCTCTCTCCCCGGCCATGCACTTCCTTCACCCATTGCAAAACAATATTTGCCTGTTGCCTAGCGACCGTGAGGATGATTCACCTCCTGTTCGAGGCAAAAAAACATACCGGTTTTGCTGAATAATGACCTGCATACCAGTGTAACTTAAGTCAGGATGGATAAACAGATATTATGTCAATCTGCACAAATTTTCTACAAGCACACTTTGTTCTGCAACTTAGGTATCATCCAATGGAGTGCTAAAGAACTTTGAAACCATTCCACTGTAATATTGAAATTTGAAGCCTATGAATCAACAGCCGAAAGATGAATTCAGTGCTTACACGGATAATAAACAGAGTGCATCTTCCCGTGTAGAAAACAAAAAAGTTTCAGAAGGAATTCTCAATGAATTCGGTATTCCTGGGTTGACAGCTGAATGGCTATCGTCATAAGATGATTCAACCTTTCCAACCTGGAAAAGGCGGAGATCTTTATTCGGTACTCCTTATTTATAAACACAGCCAATTCGATGTCGCTCTCTGCGCTGTGACCTAGCTGCAGCCCAGCATGGTGGCCCCTCAAGACCCTTCTGCTTCTAACTCAAAGGGCTTTTGTTGTCCTTGTTACACATCACAGTGGAATCCGTATTAGTCACTTTTCTGACATCATCTGATCAACCTCAATCGTGCCATGCAGCCGGCAGGAGTGAAAGATGTCAAAAAGTTATTTGTTAGTCAGATGTGGAAGACAAGATGGTCATGGATGAGACATGTAAAAGTTCTGTATGGTTCTGCAGTGTGGGGAGAGCAGCGAGATTACAAGGTTGGGGGGTGGGTGGGCAGTTGATTGTTTTTACCATTTTTTAAGCAGTGACTGAAGCTCATTGGGCTAAGTCTCTGTGCCCCTGAGTAGGGGGTCACCGGTTTGAGGTCCAGCCTCAACAGAATAGTCACATGTCTATGGACTCTTGAGTCAGGCCCTTAACCCCACCAGCTCCAGGG